TGGACTAGAAGCTTCCTGTTTTGTCCAGGCTAGCTAGCCAGCCAACCATGGATCTGCCCCCCCCCCCAAATTGAGGGCCATGGCCAGCTTTTTTTTTTTTCTTTAAGGTGGGTGCTGAGTACTTAGACTTAGGTCCTCATGCATGCACAGCAAGTACTCCAATCCATTCATCCACTGTCTCAAAACTCTCCACTGCACTAATACAGTATAAAGTTTTGGTATCACGGTTATAAAATATATAACAAAAGCAACTTGAAGGGAGAAAGATTTATGCTGGCTCCTGGTTTAAGAAGCTATAGTCTATCTTGATAGAGAAGGGACTGTGGCTGGGGAGCCATCCATGGCAATGGGAACTTGCAGCATAGCTTGTTATATCATGGTGTATCAAGAAACAGAGAAAGCTAGGGCTAGAAGCAGTCTTAGCTATAGCCTTTTTAGCTCTTCCCACATCTAGGCCCCACTTCTTAAATGCTTCACAAACAGTGGAATCAAAATACCAGCTGATATATATTCAGATATATCAGCCCACAGGGACATTTCAGACTCAAACAGTTTCCAAAGAGAAGTTATGATTTTGTCTTAAGTAAAATTTATTACCTTATCAAGATTCATTTCAGGGAAGGAAATCTCCCATTACCAATAGACTTTTAAAAAGTTTTAAATCTTTTTCCTGGTAGTAACTGAGAGATAATTAACACAATTCCTGGTTTTAGTAGCTATTGCAGGAAGTAGGGTCACAGATTTGTGAAATTGCCGTTGTCCCACATGACTTAGACAGTTCGTGTGTGACAGGGCAAGACAGTGCAAAGGTTCCTTCATCTTGTTTTCTTGCTGAGGCCATTTTACATTTAACTAGAATTTGATTTCCTTGATGGAGACTACCATGAAAAATCACCCAACTCTATTCTAGGAACCAAAGGTCAAGTTGTCATAGCTAACTTACCTTAGCTTCTGTCAAATTGCCTATTTATATAGAACCTTTCCAGTTAATTGCTCATTTTAGCTTCTGTTAAAACTGCTTAGTTCTGTGAATTTTCCCCCACCCCCTGCAGCCTACCCAGTTGCCTGGATATAATCTGTACTGTTGGCTATTTAATAGCACTAAACTTTTGTTGCAAAACTTTTACAAGAATTATTCATTGCCATTGCTTTGATTGAATGTGTGTCTCTTCTATAATCCACATTAAAATTTAATTACCAAAATAGCAGTATTAACAAGATGGGGGGTATTTTTGGAGGTAAATAAGCAATGAGGTGTTCACTCTCTGGAAACCTAGGATTAGTGCTATGCATATGAGTTGAGCTTTGCCAAGTAAGGTCACAGTGCAAGCAGGTTCACAACAGTTCTGTTGGAAGTAGAGACCAGGCACTCACTAGACACCAAATTTGCCTATAACTTGACCTTGGATTTTCACATTTCCCAAAATGTAACAAATAAATCTTTCCTTTTTGTAAATTATCCATTTATGGTTGTTGGACTTTTAGGGAAGCAGATGAGAGGAGGTTAGGTCTGAGAGAAGCTGAGATAAATTTTCGTTCAGGTGAGAATTTTTACCAGGAAGTCATAACACCTGAGCACACAGTCAGGCGGGGCTTCTCAAGTAAGAGAGGTTTCAGTTTTGTCAGACAGGTTGAAATGTATTAACAGTTTCTGAGGGAGAGGGGGAGATCCCAAGATAGCAGGCTTAATCAGTAGTCTATTTTATGTGCTTCTACTTAGGTTTTATGTGAGTGGGGTAGAGGGTGACCAGGGAAGGGGGAGGATTTAGCCCTTTGTGACTCTGTCACACCGAAGGTAGATTGTTAGCGACGTTAGGAATATGTCAAAGGGAGATTGAGGCTTCAGAGTGTGTATTTGTGGCCTGTCATCTAATAGGTATTTTATTATAGCAGAACAAATGTATTAGGAAATCTGCTGTTTTAATTTTTTTTTAAGCTTGACCCTTCTGGGAAGAAGGAACTTCAACTAGAAAACGCCATCAGATTGGGCACTGGAAAGTCTACAGCACATGTTCTTTACTAATGGTTGATTAGGGGTACACAAGAAGGATTAGTCACCCAACTAAGGGAAACTCAGATGTGTCACAGAAGAATCCCAGCAAATGGTAGATGGCTTATGCCACATGGTAGGTTGTTTATGCATGGAGGAAGATGTAAACAGAGGCAGTATTTAGTATCGGAGAATGAGTAACCATTAATAGCTTCTATATAATTGCAATATGGTACTACGAGGTAAATAAGAAGATTAGGGAGATAAAAAATAGTCTAAATAAGGAATGGGGATATTGTACTTAAGTTCAGAGAAACAGGCCATCACGATGGCTCAATGGGTAAAGGTGCTTGCTGTCAAGATGGCTGACCTGAGTTTGATCCTTGGGATTGACAAGATGGAACAAGGGAACTGACTCCTGAGAGTTGTTTTCTGACCTCCATACCTGTGCCATGGCATTTATGTTCACACACAGACATGGACAGACATGGACACACACACCCCTTATAATGAAAAATTGAGTCTAGAGGAGGAAGAACAGTACTGAACTTTGGGTCAGGCAATAGGTATGAACATGAGTTATTAGCATGGTATTAAGATGAAATGACATAAACTAACAGAAATCACAAAACTAAACTAACAGAAATCACAAAACTATGAAGTTATAATGTTGCTTGAGCTCCATATAGATCTTAAGAGCCACAAGGCCCATCTATATGACTATTTTATGCAAAGGAAGCTATAAAGAATACTTGGACTACTATGGTGTCTATCTAAACCAATAAGAAGCCACTAATACAGTAAGATAGATAGTAAGTAACTGAAATGTAACACTAATGTCTGTGGTATATAGTAAACAAAGTTCAAGGGCATTTGTCTTCAAAAAGTAACTTTTTTTTTTTGTTTCTAATCACCATAATTACTCCCAGTGGTCTATAATTTCAGGACTAGAAATTGGTGGAAATGATGCACTATAGATCATAAAATACAATTTTAAAGTTCATTTGTCTATTTTGTCTTATTTTAGTGAACATTCAACTATTATGTCTCATGCATGGGTTTCTAAAACTTAGATCTTAGTGTTTATAAGATTTTATATCTAATTACTTAAAAAGCTCTCGATGTCACATATTATGGAAAGTTGTGAAGGTATGAAATCTACACATGTCTGTTTAAATTTATTTTTATTTAAAATGTTTTTGACTTTTCTTTTTAAAATTGTTATTTTCATCTTATGCGTACATTATCTATGTGAGGGTGCCAGATTTCCTGCAATGGAGTTAAAAACAGTTGTGAGCTGCTATGTGGGTGCTGGGAATTGAGCCTGGGTACACTGGAAGAGCAGCCAGTGCTCTTAACTGCTGAGCCATCTCTCTAGTTCCCTGTTTAAATGCATTAACTAATTTATTTTGCAGTGCTGGAGACTGAACCTGGGCCTTATGAACACTAGAGAAGCATTCTATCACTGAGCTACAATCTAGCCCTGCATTAAATTTTCATAGTATTGTCTAAAGATCTCTATCAAAACAATACTCAAGGGGTTTGAGTAAAGTTAACAAATTCATAATGTAGACACACACATATTAACTATTTGAAGTTCTTAAATATGCCCTACCCCCCTTTTCAGATTCTACACCCTAGGTTGATTTCTAATTCTCAATTCTTCTGCCTCAGTTTCCCTAGTGCTAGCCTTAATGTTGAACAACTATGGCTTTGTGTATGTGGTGGAGTATATATGTGTGTGTAGCGGTGTGTTCATCCATGTGTGCGCAGAGGTCATTGGTAGACAGTGGGTGTCTTGCTTTAACACTCTCTCTACCTTATTCCCTTGAAACAGGTTCTTTCGTTGAACCTGGTGCTTGCCTTCCTCCCACCTTTTGGCTAGTCTGGGTAGGCACTTGAGCAAGCTCCAGCAATCCTCTAGTCTCCATTCCCCAAATGCTGGGTATAGCTGTGCACATGGCTATGACTCACCCCCCCCCAACCCTGCCTCCCCACTGGGCTGTCTCTCTAGGCCCCCAAGTAGCTTTGATTGTTAAATAACACCGACAGTCTACTAGAGTGTAAACTATCTCATTTACTAAAACTCCCATTATTGTGAGTGTCTAGTCAACCTACTTTATTCTGGTCAACCTGTACATTTATTGAAAACCATTAGGGAGAAGACTGGGTGATGACATTCAATTATTAAGAGACAGAAAAATAATGTAACAATTGGCCTAAATGGGAAAACTTCCAATAGGATTTCACTTTCATGACACACACACACACACACACACACACACACACACACACACACACACACACACTAAACCTATTCACAGTTTCATTTTTATAAAATAAGAAAATGAAGTTCATGACTTTCAAGTTAATATTGTAGTGCTCAAACCAAAGGAGAGCATTAAGGATTTTCCATTCTTGGGACCAGAGAACAATGTTCTATAACATTTTGCCTGACAAGGCAAAAAATCTTTTGGAATTTGTATTTACAAAATTATCGTTTATTACCTACCCACCCAACTTCTTTTTGAGACATGGTCTCATGATGTAGCACAGACCGGCAGAAAATTTAAGCTCTTCCTGCTTCATCCTTAAGTGGTGGGACTGCAATCATGCATTACAGATTGCTTGTCTCTCCCTCTCCACCTCCTGCTTTCATGGATTTATATTAGAATTATTTTCATGTAGTCTGTCATTAGATCACTTTTGGCAATGAGACTATTAATGGGGCAGACTCCTCACCTTAAGGTCATAGAGGAGCTCACTTATACCCTAAGTTGAATGCATCAAATTCCACTCAGCTTGTAAAAATAATTAGATTCAGGGAAACATTTATCTGTATTGATAAGAAAATTTTCAAATGGTGGGTTATATAAAATTCATATTCTTGATGTAAACTCATCATTGCTCATCTTCACTCTTTTCATCACATTGCCGTTCTTTAGCTCTCTACTCTGTTGAGCCACAATGGCTATAGTCTGGAAGCCTACCTGAAATGGTGACTACTTACTGGCTCTGAGAATGTTCTCCTTGCTGCTGCACCTGGACTGGACCTGCAGAAAGAGCACAAACTCAGTAATTTAGGGCTTATAACATGGACTGCCAGGTAAGTATGTTTAATGGGCAAGCTCCTGAGGGTTAGGAGAAAAGGTTTTATTTATCTTGGCTATCACAACATGTTAGTTAGTAAAAGTCTATTACATTTTCCAGATATATTTAATTCATTTTACTCAAAAAAGAGTGAGTTCCAGAAAAATATTTCAGGTACAATATTATAAATTGGACAAAGATAATACCCAAAGCAATTTATGTGTATTTGAGATCAGTCCAGGTAGCCCTCCATGTCTGTGGGTCTCATATCTGCAGATTCAACACACTGTGGATCAGAAAAGAGGAGGAAAAGAAAAAAAGGAGGAGAAAACCAGCAACACAAAACACCAGCACTAACACCTGTATCTGTACTGCACATGTGATCTTTATTTCCTTGTCATTATCCCTTATGGAATACAATACAGCAATTATTTGCATAGCATTCACATTGCATTAGGTTATACAATAGAGATGAGGGTTGTAAATATAGCTCAATGGTAGAGCACTTGTCTATTAAGCTAGATACAACATAAAGTAAAGTATATGGTTGGATGTATTTAGGCTGCATGTAAGTAGCATATACTATTGTATAATATGAGACTTGAATTTCTTTGGATTTTGTTATCTATGGTGGCTTTGGAATGAACTTGTTACAGATAATGAAGGATGATTATGCATGGAAAAATTCAATACTGTACATTCACTTAGATCCTTAATCTAAAGGTATTTTGTATATGTCTTGACTAGAATAAAAAACAAGTAAAATTAAAATAGAATATTCTATTGTGGTTATTTTTATCATATATATGTTAACAAGGAGAAAAAAATTTATCTGTAGCATTTACCTTTGATGGTAGTAGCTTTTGTAATTCTGACTGTAATAATTTCTTACAGTACTGGCTATGAAAGATGTTTCTATTGGAAATGAGCTAAATATAACTCCTTTATTAACCAGTTTTAGGTATGGGTATAATTTGTCAATTATGGACTCTTTACGTTCTGATTGAAAAATTTAGGGTAAAGTGGCATATTTCTTTTGAATTTTGCCAAATGGTTATATTCAATAGTCATGCTGAATGGTACTGTTATTAATTTCAGATATAACTTAAAGGTCCACACCTCTTCCTCCCACTCCACAGCAGCTTGCCCCAAATGGATATATACACAACAAAGAACTTTCTGCAGCTTAACACAGTCTAATAATATATGAAACAATTTATGAAAGAAATGTTTTAACTTAGGGTAGGTTATGGCTGTCCTTCCCTGAAAAAACAAACAAACTGTTAATGTTTAAAGAAATAATAATAAAAATGCCATGAGCAGACAAGGGCAAACAAACAGCAAAACCCAAAGCAAATAAATTGAAAGATGTGCACTCACAGACACATACACACAATACACACAACACACACAACACACACACAACACACACACACACACACACACACACACACAGAAAAACAAACAAACAATTACAAATGTTAGTTATTCTCTTTTGGCCCAGTTTGCTTAATTAGTTTTAGGTATAATACAATGACACTAATCCATAATAAAAAATTCTTATTTTATTTACAAGTCTTATTGAAGAACAATTCTGGACCAAATGAGAAAGAAATTAGTAACTTAAATAAAATAAGACAAAGAAGAAAGCATGATATCAAAGAAAAGAAAAAGCAAGGAGAGAGAGAGAGAGAGAGAGAGAG